AATTTCAGGCTTTAAGGAAGCGAGTGACTTATTACGGAGCTCAGAACCATATTTCTGTTTTACAAGAATGGGTCGGCTTGGATGGATGAGTTGAAGCCATATGACGACAACAGTGTCCTCCAGAGTGGGAGTAATATTCTTGTCTACGTCGACAGCTTCACCGTTATGTGTAACGCCGCAGCTGGCAGTAAGTAAATTGCCCTCAAAAAATGCTGCAAGACGTTGGAACAAACCCTCAGGTCTTTCGTCTGGCTGTAAAGATATGCTCGACAAATCCAGAAAGTGAGCACCGGTGGACTGGAAGCCGTAGTGTTGTCGGATTTTTTGATAAATATCATTTAGAGAAAGTTAGCTTTTTACTAGGGTGTTCCTTGAGATAATGGGGAAAAAATTGGCAATCTGCCCTAACATAAGGTCTAGGTGGGCATTCTTCTGAGCAGTGATCTGCTGTTCTGACGGGATGGGGTCGTTATCATTAGTGAAACATCTATGGGGGTTTGCAGCGGTTTTCTTTAGCCATATTGCCTCTAGGAAAGGAACACAAATATTGTCCAGTGAAAGAATATACGCAAGGTTCTGTCGCCAACTTTCATAAGATGTTATTGTCTCATATTTTGCTAACTGCCATTGTTTAGGGGATCTCGGGGCAGTCATATCGCTTTATCACACAGACAAAATGTCACAATGGAAATGTTCAGGATTATAAAATGAACACACAAAAGGATTTAGATGGTTAGGTAAAAAAAAGTGTCAAAAGTTTGAGACACTTTCCAAACAAAAATAGTCACTTTTTGAAACGTCATAAACATGTGAAAAGTTTGAGACTTTTTCCAGACAAATACAGACACATTTCACAATTGTGCTGAATGCATATAATAATGGACGAGTTGGATCCCAATTCAAAAGACAAAATAGCTGGTATGACGTGGTATAGATGAAAAGTCTCATTTGATTATGTGAATCACTGCAACACTCTCAATTACATAAACGGTAGGCCCTAACGTTTCGAGTCACTGTGTAAACGCTGTTTTGTCTTTTGAATTGGGATCACACTCGTCCATTATTATATGTATTCAGCACATATGTCATAATCATCGTAAACAATAATATACATTAAAGAGGGAAGTCTGTAACATGACGTGGTATAGATGAAAAGTCTCATTTGATTATGTGAATCACTGCAACATTCTCATTTATATAAACGATAGGCCCTAACGTTACGAGTCCCTGTGTAAACGCGGCTATATTGTTGATGTTACTGACTTCACCTCAAAATGCAGATGTCACGATGTTGACTGCATGTTCATTAGAGTCTTCTAGGCATGGGTAAGACGCTTCCACCACGCCAATAAGGAATGACACCGTGTTCTTATAGTAAAGTCTTTATGTATCACAACGAACATAAACACATGTTGCAACAAATATGGCGTTAGGCCGCTTATCAGTCAGTGACAAGGCCATTTAATATAAGATAATGAAAATAGTACTGCCGCTAGCTGTAACAATATATGCATCGCAGTAAAGAGTAAGGGCGATAACTCTTATGACTTTATATTTTTATATTTTTAGACTAAACAGCCATCCTTTGTAATTGAACTTGTATAAATTGTAAACATCTTTGTGTAAGATATGCATTATGAAATCATTCAAACTCTCACCCGAATAATGTTGTTTATATTTTTCCAATGTCATCCCGTGATTGTCTAAATATTCCAGCCATAAGTTGGTCTTTTGCCTTGAATTTTCCCCCTTTAACTACCCTGGCAATGTATATTGTCCAGTCAAACAAACAGGTTTTAAGCTGACATTGTATTCGTTCATCATTGTAAACTTTTGTTTGCATGTTGTAGTATGCTATGTCTAAAGCGACTCTCTCATCGATTCGGTTGGAAAAAAGGGCAAAACCATTAAAGGTACAAAAAAAGGAAGGAAAAGAATGTTAATCAGTTTTTTAATATCTTATACAATATTGAACATATTTAGAAACATTGAAAATTGTTATTTTAAATCAAAATTAAAACAGAATGAGTGTAAACGGTTGTACATGCTTTAAATATCTTAATTTTATACCGTTAGTTTATTGTCATAATCATCGTAAATAATCATATACATTAAAATATTATCACTGTACATAAATAGAAATCGTTAACAAGATTGTAAGTATGTTTAATACAAGATGAATCAATAAAATAGGTACGACTTGAGGTAGAAGTTTTCAATACAGGTTAATGAAGTTGACTTATCGCAAAGGTACTTCCCTTCTCACATTACAACAGACAGTCAAGAGTAATGATTAAGATTCAAAGTTCAAGAAACAGACATAATCAGTCATCCTGAATTCCGACCGAGATAATAATTCGTTTTAACGAAGAATCATATTGATACCACTTCACTTCGCAAATATCGATAAAAAAACGATTCTGAAAATTCTTTCAAATAATGTATTTTCCATTGGGACACAAATGTAATATTTTGATTCGGTACGTGGTGTATAGGTTATACTTGTATATTGAAGGCCTTTGAAAACAATCCACATATTTCTTGAAATTAATAAATTTCAAGGCAATACTGCTTTTATCCTTTGTGAAATGACATTAAACGCAACCTGTGATATACTTAATATAAACATGGTTTTGTTTTGTAATTATATTTGACATTTCCCCAATAATATGAATGCAAAATGTGATAACGATGAAAAAAGAGGTGTGAGCCCCTTCAGGTTTTGTTCAATAACCCTAAAGTTAACATATACCAACTGAGAACAGATCAGAATAACAGACAAAATACAAAAAAAAAAAAAAATTTCAGTAATGTAAATATTTCTATTGTGACAAAAAGCACAGAATGATAAAACAAAAGCCTGTTTCCCGTTTCATAACAGTTAAGATAAAAAAAAACGTCTTAATTATAACAAATAAGATATGTTATTTTAACAACATTTTACACATATAAGATCGTAAAAGAAAATGGCTGTTTTATGAACAGTTTTATTTTAAATAATAGAAAATTATGATGGTTGCTGATTTAAAGCAATTCATGATAATAAAGATAATTTGCAGATTATCTTTATCATCATGAATGACAGTTTCCACATTGCAGTACAGTTCCGGATATTCTTGGCTTCGCACACTGCATTTCTTTACATATCTTCGGAAATGTATGAATATTTTGTTTTCATCTTAAGTATCTTTCACCTGCTGGTTTAGTAGGTCGATGTTGTATGTGTTTAGTATGGTCTTTTAATTCTAAATTTTGTAAATAATTTGTATACTGTCATTAAACGTTACAGTTATTTTATTTCAAAATCAGCAATAATTTAATTAAAAGCAACAGGTACTTATTCATTTGATATTTTGGCATTATCTACATTATTACAATGAGTTCTGAATCGTGTTTTATCAGCCAATGTTATGAGTGAGTAAACGTTAGTTTAAACATGTTGATACGGATATTCGTTAAAAATGCAAAAAATAATACTGTGTTTCAAATTCAGCCAAATTAACCTCTCAAGTCAATCAATATTCATTATTATCCAAAAGATGAATGAGATCCCAGATAAACAAGGTCATGTCAATAACTTGGCTAAAGTCCGCCCATATTGTCTACAAAAAAGTAATTCTGCTTGTAAGCAGTAATCCACTGATAAGGATTGATTTTTATGGTTTCACTGACCCTTCTCATAAATCAGATTGAAACGCATTTAGTGTACACATTGCTATTGATCGTCCTGAGTTGAGATAACAAAGTCGTTGTTGTAGGCATAGAGCATAAAGCGTTGGAAACACCATTTAAGAGCAAGTATGCAGTGGATAAACGTCTTTCTTTGTGTTTTTACCTTGCCAAATATTATCACAAATGGTGTACAACAAGGAGCCGTTATGACTAATGACTGGATACTACAATCTTCAGCCGATAAAGAGGCTGTAGAAGAGCTGCTTAATGATACAAAATTTCGTGTAATTGACGAGGTGAGTACTGACGTTAATGGAAATGCTTCTACATCTCTATTTAGGAATGTTCATATATCAATGCTTATAAATGCCTATATATTTCATGTAGGATGATTTGCACACAGAAATATAAAATATATTTATTTAAGGTTCTGCAAATAGCATATCAACTTGATGCATTATATATTTTGTACGTTACAGATCGTCTCTGGGTATTTTTGGGTAAAACAATTAAGGAATTCTGTGGACAGATCATCTTCGGTTTCAACGGCAGTTATCAAGCGATGTGACCATGCAAGTAATTAGGGAATAATGATACAAACATACTGATGAATTCGATTGACAAATCAATACCAATTTTTGGAGAATGCTCTTTAATTAAAATGATGATAATAATAATAATAATAATAAATATTTTAAGCATAAGAATATGGTTAATAATTATCTCAATATTTGTTAGATTAATTTGAATCCAAAATACAGGTTAGTTGATCTATTATGTTAATACAACTCTAGATTATACGCTACCAACCTTTCAAAAATTTCAATAAAGCAATTATCAATCCAATCCGGAATAAAATAGTTGATCCAATACAAAAAAAACCGAAATATATACCAGTGGTTCAAAGAAAAAGTTGCTTTTCTTCAAACTACATTATGTGAGTATAAACTCTAAGATATCACTTGGCTTTAATACTAGGAGAAACATATTAACATTCTTCATTCTCAGCCACAAAATAATGCTGAACGTTAATGAAAATTCCAACAATTTATTGCCATTCAGAAAGATAATTATTTGTTGCGTGAAATAAAACATTACGCATTTATCTTAATTATCTTGTTAAGTGTCTTTATTAAATACATAAGTTTGACTTAAGATTTACCTTCTGAAATATCTTAGTCTTTCCAGCGATTCAAAATAAAGAAATATTTCTATATATCATGTTTTAATGTAATGTCCATGATGTCCATGATGTCCATGATGCCTTCTGCAATATTATCATGTAGCACATAGTAACTCGTTCATTTTATTTGCATAGATCATAAGTTTTGAACGCCAAAAAAAGCGAAAGATTAATTTACGAAGTACTGGAATAACAATGAATGACCCCCTTTGGAATAAACAATGGTACCTAGTAAGTATTTAAAGTAAATATGTTGATGAAAAATAAAGATTAAATTGCATATATACCATTCATTGTGGGAAATTTAGATCACATATTCAGAACGGCATAAAGCATAATTATATATATATATGACTTTTCATTTGCTTATGATAAATTATGGCTATGTCAAAAATATTTATCACAAAATAAATCTTTTTGTGTAATTACTATGAATTTATTCTCTTTAATGGCTCATCTAATGATCGTAAATACTGATAACAATGCGTGTTTGTTTGCGCTGCTTAATGATTTCTAGGGCATGCGTTATGAATGAAAAAGAATCCATTGGCTTTTTGAGATGATTTTTAAACATTATTTAAATATATTCTTGTTTTTATACTAGCATGCAATACAAAAACAAAATTTACAATACAATTGTTTCATAATAAATAAACAGCGCATTTAATACAATATACATGTAAATACAAATTCTTCCGAATGAGTTTTCCAGAAATGATTTTCGGTCATTTTTCTTTGTTTGCGTATTCAACATATCATTTTATCAAATTGTGTGCCAGTTCTAGTCGATCTTTTCATTTTCTTTTAATATTTATGTTTTCATGAATTGACCTTAAAGGGATATTGAAGATAGGTAATGTAGATATTTTCAGATTCTTAATCGTTATATTCAAATATATTTACATTGTTTTGTCCTCAATAACAAGGGTTTCAAGAATTGCTTGCTCCTGAATAAATTGTTGTTAAATTAATTCATCTAATTCATCACCAACGTCATTTTCCTTTTAGCGAAGGATTTAAGGGCTCTATGAAAGCTACAGGATGAGATATCTTATAAAATTTTACAAGGGTCAATATATTAAAATATGAGATGGTTGTATTACTTGCTTAATGCAAAAGTTACATGAAAAGTCTTATTATTTAATCTTTTCCTCCCATCTTATTAGAACGACGTTAGAGCTATCCCTAGCATGAACATACAGAAGGCATGGGCAAAAGGCTTTACAGGAAAGGGAGTGGTAATCGGTATTGTCGATGGCGGTGTTGATGTTACACATCCTGATCTATCTAATAAGGTGGTACGTATGGGCTACATATTTGTTTATAAAACATGCAAATCATAACCTTTCTTTTCGTACTGTTTCACCCAGGATTTATATTGACATGATTGTTGTTTTTATTTTTTTCTTACTCATGTTAGTATATTTTCAAACGTTAAAGTGTAATTAAACATTTTGTCTAATTACTATGCGAACATCAAACAGCTTTATATCAAATTTTGTTTTTTTATATCTCAGAAAGACTGATATCAATTGATTTTACTCAGTTCGAGTGTTTTGAAAGCTAACCATGTGGAAAATGTATACAATCCATTACGGTTGTAAGTCGAGAGGAATGTTCACTTTGAATCATTTCGAAATCAAACGGAGTCACTCATTATAGCGGTATATATCTCAGTTCAGGTTAATTTTTATCAATTTAAATGACAGAAGGTGGATCAACTATTCTGAAATATATATCCTAAAATGAACACTCATTGTAATTTCTCCAACTCAGTATTCAGAAAAAGTACACAGTCACTTTCTCGTATCGGAAACAATTTATCTTTTACTTTCTATAACAACATTCTGTCAATTAAAGCTACCTTCTTTAGTTCTGTTGTCACGTTGCTTAGGTAGCGTGTTCAGATGATATTTGAACCTCGTAATCTTTAAGACAAAATTGGTTAATCACAAGGATCGTCTATGACTTTTTTTGGTGAAGTACGTTGCAAGTTGTTTTTCAAAACTTAACGTTAAGTTTGAGACCTGATATACCGAATTTGTCACTCTAAAGCATGACTGTCAAAATCTATATGAATGTGTCCAGAAAACAAGTACACCGGTAACTTTCTTTCCACAATCAGGAACATTTCTGCTGGATAAAGTAAGAAGTTATTGTTATATACATATTTATTTGTGAAAAGTTAGATTGTGTTTCTTTTTTTCAATTTCAGAAAAGGAGTTTGAGTTATGATTTCATTGAAAATGACAACGATCCGTCGCCTGCTTATCGAGAAAGGTGAAAAGATATTTGTTTAAATGCGCAAACGAATATGAATGTTGGTTGCTGGTGGAAATAAATACATTTTTTTCTTATTAGATGAATGAATGAACATAATCATCTATTTTAAAAAAATGTACAGATCATGATTGTGAAAACAAAAAGCACTGAGTCTTTTGTGAAGATTTTTATGTGACAGCTGACGTTAAACTTGTGATGAAGAAATACTTACTTGGACTGGCTTTACCCAAAATAGTATTGATAATAATATCAGCAATACGTGTTGCACGTGTGTATATATACACATTTACAATCTTCTCATGTTTTATCCCCGTTTTCCGTATTTTAGTAGCATATTTGAGCTACAATTGTGTATTTTTGTATTAATGTTTTGGTTTACTTTCGTCGATTTCACCTTAAATGACATTTTGATCAGAATAAATTAAAACAGGTTATTATACTTAGCGATTTACATGTGCATACTAGGGGATGTATTATTTTCTTTCTATCGGTATTCTACTAGAATAATCATACATAGTCGCCCATTATTCGAAAACTGCTTTGATTTGTAACATTTACTTTGCATCTTAAGCCACGGGACAAAATGTGCTGGTATTGTAGTTGCAGCGAGGAATAATAGAAACTGCATTGTCGGAGCTTCATTTGGATCAACATTTGCCAGTAAGTTTATGTAGTTCATACGGGTGTTTTATATATACATTTTAATTATGCGCGTAGATTTAAACAATTTTAGTTAGTAATAAAGAAATAATAACATATTGCAAATTATACTTTGTAATAATACTTATGCATTGAATTTATCATTACGTGTTACACACAAACTAAATTTGAGTTAAACAGTGAACTGTAGTTTAAATAGCATTTTACATTTAGAATTTAGAATTTAAAAAAAAAGTTTATTTATTGTCTGTTAATATCTTGTTTAATAGATTTACGAATATCAGATAACTTTGGATCAACACCAGTGACTGAATCCCGAGCTTTGGTACATAAATATGATGAGATTCACATCTATTCAAACAGCTGGGGTGTCATTGAAGGACTAGGCTTTGAACAACAACCGCCAGTAGTTGAAAATGCGATAAGCGCAGCCGTTCAGAAGGTATATATTTTAAAACTTATTCGCGTTGATTTATCACATTTATTCCTGCCCGAAACTTATTTAAAAAGTATTTTGTTTTTGTATTCAAGGGCAGGAATGGTCTCGGATCAATATTTTTATGGGCCAGCGGAAATGGTGGCACCAACGATAACTGCAACTGTGATGGTTATGCGAAATCAATTAACGTTATATCAATAGCAAGTGTATCAGAGAATCAATATGCTGGTTATTACTCTGAGTACTGTTCGGCGATTCTGGCTTCATGTTATAGTGGTGACGACGTCCAATATGATATCGTAAGTAACTCATGTAATTATCAATGGTAATAGTTGATAAAGTTCTTTGCATGACTAAATTGATATTGTAGTATATTTAGTATATTTTGCAACAGTAAGGCATTTTCTGTCTGAATTTGTAAAGAAATATCTGTCGCACCTGAGTCTTTCAAGGACAGAATGGATACATAGTGGATAAGAAAGAGCCTGAAAGAGTGAATTTCTTGCATTAACCTGTATCACTGAGTTGATACACCGTTGTAAAGACCGTATGTGCAGTTTTTAAATGGGTTTTCTAATAACGTCATATTTCTAGCAATTAATGTTTAATCACCTTTTTATCATAGAATAAGAGGATTATTATCATTTAATGCCAATTTTATGATTTATATAACAAATATTGATAAAGAATTTACATCTTTAAAATGCCATTAATGTCCTGAACAATTGTTTGTGATTATCTAGTATTTTAAGATTTCTTCTTAAGTTATGATAAATTGAAGCGAAAATTCTTTTAAAAGTGCATACTCATATATTAGAATATCCCCCTCTCCATTTGCTTGTTTTTTTCAAGAACCTCTAATTTCTGCTGTATAGTGTCTTATGCAAATTGTGTAGTTATATAGTGTCTATTCACAGCTGACAACCGATATAGGTGGATCTTGCACAAACTTCTCTGGGACATCTGCTTCAACACCATTGTCAGCCGCTGTCATAGCACTTGTTCTTGAGGCAAAGTAATAGTATTTTTAAATGTATTGTGAAATTTCATATGTTGAGTGGTAGTGGAATGTTTTCGCTGGGGATGGGTGGGTGAGAGTGATACATATTTGATTACTCATAAACTGTTTCGTCTTAAAACTTGAAAAAGAAGAAGGAAAATGTGCTTGGTCAGCGCAAATAGAAGAGAAAAATAGTTTTTTAAAATATCTATTTATCTATTTATTAATTGTTTGTTTTTAGATAATTGCTCAATGACATCATTAAGTATTTAGGATCTTGACAAATATGCCAAATGGGGCGACCATGACAGAGCAATAAAATAAAATAAGATTAAAGTAACTTATATATTTAACTATAATAATAAGAAGAAGGCTAGGTGAAGAGAATTCAAACAAGGCAAGGGAACAATATAACAAAATTTAGTTAGAAATAAATGCATGGTTGAAATGAAAATAAATGATATACTGTAGCTATTCAAAAGGATATTTCAGATAAGACAATATATAATAATAATAATAACAATAATAATTGGAGGTTCTTATATACTGATTTATTACAACCTATTTCGTAGGTCGTCTCAAAGCGGTTGACAAATTATTATTCGCGAGATGATCTCTTGTTTCAAAAAGTTTAAATAAGTTATATAAGTATGACGTGTACGCCCCGAGAAAGGTTAGCATCCCCTCTTTAGTCTTCCCGACAAATTTAAAATTTTGGTTGCACTGCAAACGTTATAGCTGGTCTCAAAACACCGTTGTTGCTGTTTTGCTTGAGGCTATTGTTTTTAAATTTCAGCCCGAATCTGACCTATCGGGACATCCAGCATCTCATTGTTTCAACATCAAAGCAACATAGTTTACAGGGAAGAACATGGAAACGAAATGGAGGTGGATACATGTGTAAGTATATCTACTTATCTCAATCAGTTGTATAGAGCAGACAAAATAATCCTATTACAACTGTCTAATGTTAAACACGCTGTCTGAAAAGCAAAATATATATACCTAACCAACCTCAACTTATGTAAGTGTTTTTACTCCATGTCAGTTTCAGTATGCTTGATCCATATGTGAATTGTTTTCTCCTTTCGAAGTTAAGACACAAGTTATTCCTGTAATACAATCTTGCATTCTGAGGCCATTTCGTTCGTTATCGAAATCTATATGAAAATCTGTTAACAGATGCACTATATAGCCTTTCCGATCATCTGATTTCGTGTAGGTCATTCATATCACCTTCATTCTCCATTAAGCAAGTTTGAATAGACTCTTAAGTACATTTTCGACCTTTTATGTTTATGCTGTTGTGCAAATATTTGATTTATTAGTAATATAACACTAACATCATGTTTTGCGTGACATTTTACAGCAGGTTTACTTCATGTTAAGCTTGAATACCATATTTAAGAGCTCGTCGATGAGGTACTTATCGAGATAAATAGCATGATCATTTGAACTTAAGAATGACCATTCCAGTTTGTACTACAAGAATGAATTTCACAAAGTTGATGTATCGCACATGTTTAAACCAATTGTTTCATTGCATTCCAGATAATGATTTATTTGGATTTGGGCTTCTGGACGCTAATGCCTTAACTGACAAAGCAATCACCTGGAAACTTGTTCCCTTTCAACATAAATGCGTTTCAGACATTATGACGGTAGAAAGGTAACAAAACTTTTCAAATGCAAGGTTTTGCTATTTTATACTATATTAATTAATAATTAATCGGGTGTATCACATCGGCATAACATACATGTACGCACGTACAAATAAAGTGGATTATTATATTTGTGATTCTTGGAAGAGTAACGTCAAACATCTTTCAAATACAGCTTACCCACGTTTAAGCTCTTTTTATTGAATATCTTCATTGGAAATCTACAATATTGTCACAAAACAACATTAAACCTTAGCAAAAAAAAATCTGTAAAAAATCTTAGATACATAACTGATTCTTATTTGAAATTTCTATTCTTGTTTTGACAGTTGCTAATAGTTCTGGTATATCATTTTATGTTTTAGGTCATCAAATGTTTCTGTGACGAGCTTCATAACTTCAAATAATTGCAATGATACACACATATTTCACGAAGTTAATTTTCTCGAGCATGTGGAAATAGAAGTAAGCTTTTCTGCTACAAAACATGGAGCCGTAGAATTGGATCTTACATCTCCCTCTGGAACGACCAGTCACATGCTTACCCTCAGGCAGCGCGATGTACACAGAGGAGCAAAGACATGGCGTTTTATGTCCGTTCATTTTTGGGGTGAGAACCCGACGGGACAATGGACTCTAAAAATGGCAACACCTGTTTATTCACAATCTGGTATGGTACATTTAATATCATTCTTTCAAGATTAATTAATGCATTATATTGCTCGTTTCTATCATACATTCTATCTAGCTTCAAATAACAACAAATTGCTATTCAGGAAGTGTGTTTATAAAACAACATATATATTCATCACACATTGGTAACTGTTTCAAAAGTATCAAGAAATAACTTTCTACAACATTTAAAATATACATTACTTGTATTGACGGGTACTTATTCAAGCCGAAGTATTTATTTGGTTCTCGCGATTAAAATTTTACCTTAAAAAAACAAAATGTGGGAATATTATACTGCTCTGTTTCTACTTAGGATCTCTTCACAAATGGAATTTAATTTTGTATGGAACGAAATATAACCCTGCGTTTGGAAGACAACCGGATGACGAACAGATACCAAAAGGTAATTAATTATTTGAAGATTTTCATTCGTTTTTCTACTTAATAAAGGAATTTACATATCTTGTAAAGAGGATCTTTAATGAGTTTCAAGTGGGATTGATAAGTTAAGTCTAAAATTTAAAACCCTTAACGCCTGTCAGATACTGTTTTTCACATAATAAATACCTGATGCATACGTTAGTAAAACAACAATTTTCAGGCTATGAACTCTAAAATATGACGTTTTGACTACAAACGTTCCTCACTCGCTGATGAGGTTTCATTGCGGTCAAAAATCCTTGACGCCATGAATTTAAGACGTCACAATTGAAATATTGTGTTCGCAAGGAAAATTACAACTCAGCAAGCTGTTATATAATGCATAGCATGTCCAAGTTATATAATAACTGATAACAAGGTAATAATGTGACAAACAATTCTTTGCTTTGAGATAAAATACATGGCGCTGGATTTCTCTACTTCAACAGTATCATTTAGCATACCAAACCGAGATGAATTTGAATAAATGGCAATCAGGAAGCAACATGAAGTTTTTGGTGGCTGTACTCTATGATAATATCTACTTTTAACTTTTTTTTATTTCAAGGAAGTTAATTTGGTTAAATATGATCAAAATTTGATCACAACATTAATCCCGCCCACCTACCATCACTTTGCAGGTTTATAATGTGTGATCACAAAAATTGTCCCATATAATTAAACAGCACAGTTGTTTTGCTCATTCTAGGCAATTTTGTTTCAATTTAAAAATGGCAACTCGGACAATGTCAAAAGTGAAACTATTTTAGAGAAAAAAGTAAAATTATGCATTTTGCAATAACATATAATCAAGGTAACGTCCCTATATATTAGAAAGAGAATCCGCAAACACTTGCGAGATTAAAACAAATGCATATGGCTTAAAAACAGGTTCCTGTTGTTGTCTTTTCGTACTGTACCAATACTCAGGTTTTGTCCTTCTTGCATGTCGACTTTGTGATTCTCCTCCATTCAACCACAATGGAATATGAGAGAAATGTATCACAGTGCAAATGCACAAGGTCATTAATAAATGAAAAAATCTATACACATAGAAATAAAAAAACAGAAACTGATGAAACAACAAGACAGAAAGGAAACCCATTAGACTATCATGTCGGCCTCTTTCTTATCCGAAAGAAATTAATGTTTATTCTGCAAACCGAGTGAAATATAAGTGATATTTAAAAATAAAAAACATTCCTGCATCAAAGCGTACGCAATTATATTAGATCGCACCATATGAATGGGCTACTCAACATCATTTTTACCGTTTTCGTCTATGCTGTGATAAAAAGTACCCTTCTGATTGATCAATGATAAAAGTTTTCTGTATAGGTGTCATACTGTGAAAGATATCAGATTTTGCTAGTGGAAGGAATGCGATATTTTCACTGACAAGGTGTTGTAAAGTTAAATATGGCAGCAAAACTTGGAAGAAGCATATTTCAAAACGTTTCTCAATAATAAGTAAAAGTCAACTAAATTGATCCTTACTCTTTTATTAGAGTCTACGAAAAGTATAACGACGAAAGAAGAGGACAACTTTTGCGACAGCGAGAATGCAACAACTTGTGGATTAGTAATTGGTGGATCAATTTTAGGGGTTGTCAGTTTGGCGTCTGGTGTTATTATCGCCTTCAAAAAAATGAAGAAAAGGAATAGCACAGAAGATTCTAACAACGCAATAAATGGCGAATTTCCCAATTGAGCAAAACGTCGTATTGGACCCCAATCGGTTTGACCTTACTATTTATAAATATTTATTATAATTATGGTTATTGTTTCTTTCTTTATCTTTATTTCATATGTATCTATGGACCTTGAGGGAACCTATTAAGAAAAAATATATACTCTGAAACACAAATGACTAAATACAATACTGGATCAAATACAATGCGTTAGGCTGAAATTTAAAAAAAAACAACCCAGTTAGCAATGTATCAAACATTTTCACTCTATAAACGTTTAATTTTTGTCCATAATCAAACGATTAATTTCTGATTAAAATATTAAGCTTCAATGCCTTCTTCATAAACACTAGCAATGCTTCTGGTTCTTAGTGTGTCAATCTAGCTAGCTCAAACACCCGCATGCCTGATATCATTGTGACATTATTGCGAGTTATTGTAATTATGACGTCACAATTTCGTAATCGTCACGGCTATCTCTCCCTTTGAATATTATGTTACACGTTATTTTGTCCGTTTCTCTTAACTGAGTTGAGAGTGCCATGGAGATTTGTCTTTTTTGTTCACCTCTAGATGATTTTACTTACAGACGTGTCTGTGTATTAGCTAACACTTTACTGAAATTGGTTATCATCTCAAGCTTCGGGAAATTACCTAGATTATATTTTGTAAAAGTGACAATCGTTTCGACTAATCCTTGTTTCTTCCTGCTTTTATATGTTTTAACCTAAACACCTGAGGTGTGTTTTAAGTGACCCACATCGTAAAGGAGAAACCAGGTTAAAGGTGACAAGATTACACATAACAAGCGTTTGATACATTTGCTCTTATGTCAGATTCAACGCATTCCACACGCAATGTGATTTACTGCTTTATACTTAGTAAACGTGTATCAGCTGTCTATGTAGGTGACACATAAGGGCTAAAAGTTCGAAACTTTGTATATGAGACTTTGTTGTTTTATAATATTTACGTGTCCTCCCTGAATGACTACTTTAATATTTTACGTATATATTTTTTACAATAACAATACATAGAACTTTCGATACATATACTTTTTGATGTTGTTAATGCTAAAAAAATAAATTATCATCTGGTTTGTAATAAATATTTGCAAATGAAGGAACCCCATGTTTGGAAAACATCGTTTCGGGTGTCATGACTGTTGTACGATATTTACCCGATTAACTGTGCAATTAGATATGGCAAATCGCAAACGATATTCGTACAAATATTTGCCGATTGTCTGATTGTGACGACATGAAAATGATTCATGGAATCATGTTGGGTAATTCAAATCTACATCATTGAAAAACAATCAAAGCATAGCTGAGATTACGTAAACTACGAGAAATTTACATTTCTTAAATATGTGCCGCATTGACAAAAGAGCTTCTCATTTTCAAATGATGACACTTATTTGAGGCTCCGAGTCCGATACAATATGTGAGTGATATGGTGTACAGTATTTATTTGTTTTACGGAGTTATTTATCTATTGTCTTTGCATAATTGTGAAATAAAAATTGTTAAGTTATTAATAAAAAAAAAATTGTTGTAATTAGAAAAAAAGGTATCGTGATACATGATTTCCGAACATCCCAAATGTTTTGGGCATCCAGCTTAAATCTAAAAAATGTTGAAGTGTTGAAAATTACACATTTAAAGACAAATAAGAAATAAAAGTTTGCAAATCGTGAAATACTATATATACATTCAATACCAAAACGCAACAACTAAAACTGAGGAAATACAAAGCCAAAAGACAGTTTAGGACCCATCAGGAAACTGCATTATGGTTAACCTTTATTGTTAGAGCTAGATTGTGTTTTAAGATTTATAGAATCTGTCTCTCTTCTGTGATAGAGACAGAAAAACTCAGTCTTAAAGTAAGACTTTAATTCTCCTCTCAGCGTAGTGGTACGTGCAAAGTGTGTGCACATTAGGAAAGAGTGTTTTATCTGTATATCAGTAACGATAACTGCTACATAGATGAAACTTGCCTCAGTAAAGTAGACAGGGTAACTCTGTTAAACGCATATTGTGAATGGTGAATTTGACCAAAGTCTAATGCTTCATTGATTTCCTTTATATTCCCTCATTCATAATAATATAAAATAGGCCTATAAGCGAGCGCACATAGTACAGTAACCTTTGTGATGATAGTGTAGATCACGGGAGCCTGTGGCGACCCAGCTTATGGCATTAACGTAACAAAACGAACAGAGTCCCTCCTTAAGACATGCTAAGTGCCCGAATATTCTGACATGAAAATGAAAAGAAATGGAGGTTTTTAAAAAATCGTATTTTAATTAAGAAAACCTGCCAGATATTTCATGTAGGCCTTTTTGTTGTAACTAATTTACTATTATTTCCACACCTTTGTCAACATATCGCCTGATCCTTTTAGCGCCAAATTTCTCAAGACAAAATGACACAAATGCGATCTACATATTTACTTAGCATAGAAAATGTTTATTCATCAGGCAAAGTATACGTATCGCAAAGCAATCCTTAGTTCCCAATCGGTAAGAATTTCAATATTTAACAAACAGCACACTTATTTCAGGAAGCATAGGTCACAGTGAGGTCATAGTGACCTAATTCACTCCACCCTCCCAGGATGTCCTTGTTCCCAAAATCTGGTTATTCCTGATGAAAAAGTATAGAAGATATGCACCGGACAACTATTTTCAAAAGTAAAGGTCAAAGGTCAAGTCATACGTCACTGTAACCTACATCTTGCACTCTGCACTCCGTCATCCCAAGATGTCCCTGAACATCAAATCTGGTTAGGGCAAAGGTCAAGTCATTGGTCACTGTGACCTGATTATCTACACTCTGTACACTCCACCATCCCAAGATGTCCCTGTACACCAAATCTGGTTACTCCAGGTGAAAAGGAATAGAAGATATGGACCGGAAAAACATTTTCAACAGTAAAGGTCAAAGGTCAAGTGATACGTCACTGTAACTTATATCTTGCACTCTGCACTCCGTCATCCCAAGATGTCATTGAACAACAAATCTGGATACTTCAGGTGCAATTGAATAGAAGATAGGCCCCGGACCAACTTTTTGCAAAGCTGAAGGTGAAAGGTCAAAGCATAGGTCCCAGTGAGGTCATAGTGATCCTCTTCTTGTACTCTGCACTCCGACTTCCAAAGATGTCATCGCACACTTAATCTGGTTACTCCAGGTGAAATAGAATAAGAGAGATGCCCTGAACCAACTTTTGCAAAACTTAAGGTGAAAGGTCAATGCATACATCAAAATGGTCATAGTGACCTTCTTCACTCTGCCATCACAGGATGTCCTTGTTTGCCAAATCTAGTTACACCAGCTGAAATAGTATAGAAGATATAAATAATTTTCAAATGTAAAGGTCAAAGATCAAGTCGTTGGTCACAGTTACCTAATTCTGTACACTCTGTCTTCTACGCCTTCTCAAAATGTCCTTGTACACAAAATCTGGTTACTCCAGCTGAAAAGTAAAAGAAGATATGCCCCGGGCCAACTTTTTTAAGGGTTAAGGTCAAAGGTCAACGCATACGTCCTAGTGATCTTCTTCTTGCACTCTGCACTCTGCCTTCCAAAGATGTCCTTGTACACTTAATCTGGTTACTCCAGGTAAAATAGTATAGAAGATATGCGCTGGTCCAACTTTTCCAAAAGTTAAGGTCAAAGGTCAAAGGTCAACGCATACATCACAGTCACATTCGTCTTGCACTTTGCACTCTGCCATTTCAAGATTTCCTTGTTCACCGAATCTGTCATCTCCTGGTGAAATAGTATAGAAGATATGTCCCTGACAAATTTCTCGGACGGGCTTGTATTTATTTTTTCATAAAAACAACAACCTGTAAGCTACAGTTCACTAAATATGATTCTGTATATCTCAGCCATGTATGACCCCTGGGAGGGGCTAGCATGAGTGTATTCCTTGGTGGTAACAGTAACCATTTTCATGTGATAAGGTCACCATGCTCGGGTGACAGGACCCTGGGAGCAATGACAGTTAGTAAAAGTGTATAATTCTATTAAATGACCTGCAAAGAGCATGGTCAGTTCTAAGTACAGAGAGACAAACAATAAAAAAACTGATGTTACAACATCCCTCTGACCTAAAAGCGCGCCAAACATCCCTCGCCCCTCGAGTTACTTCCTCCTTGACCAAAACATTTACCACAGAGCTCTGTTGAGTCATTTCTACCATTTCTTCCCCTCAACTCTTACAATGAAGTTCTGTTTAGTTACTAACAAAAAAATGGTACCCTCATAAAATGTTCACTAGTTACATACTCCCCCCTTTAAATAAATGTGTCCTCAACATTTTATTACTCCCAGAGTGAGAAATCCTCCCAGTCGGAATAGAATATCTAGGACCGTCCTATTTGAGCAGAATCAAAAGTGGTATGCCTACATTGCGATTTGGATCAATAAGCAACTCTTCTAAGTATACTTGGTAGAGAAATAAATAAAGAAGCGCAACTAAATCTATTTCTTGCCTTGACCACTACCTGAGCACCTATTTAACACAACTGTTTATACTAGGATCCACGTCCTCCGACTCTAATAAACACTCGTTCACCAATAATTCTCAGAACAGTACATAGACAGATATATACAGTCGCAAAAACTACATTATACTGCCAATAATGATGCATGCATCTTCAACTGCCTATATAGTGAGGTGAATGTTTATATCTTTTCTTATAAATTAACTGTGTAAACATATCTGGATTTAACAAACCAACACAAATTTTCTCCAATACCATGGACTAGTCTCTGCTATCAAACGCTATTTAAGAAAATATGATTTCCTGATACAAAGACCGGCCCAGCCTATTATAACTCTCTTGTTTGATATATTTTTTAAGAGTAAATTGATAATTGCATCCATTTGGTGATTTTCAGCTAACAAATGTCTTCTTTCATATTTTTTTATATAATTTTGAATATTGCATGGACTGAAAACGTGACTGCAACGTTATAGTTAGATTCACCTGATATATTTTAAAGCTCTTTAAGCAT